GAATGACGTAAATTAAACTGTTTTTTATTATGCGGATTTCTGAGTAAACTAAATTTGAAGTGTTGCGGCTATGAAGATGATCATCGCTTGCACTTATAATTTTGGCAGGGGGGTGTAAACCCAGAACTTTCTAGATTTTTTTTATTGATATAAAAAGTGCGATCTGCAATGACTAATTTTGGTAGAATCCCTGACTGTATAGTTTTGAGTGAATCAATGCTATTACTATTACTATGGATTGTGTGTTGTAGGGCAATAATTTATTTCCTTTACCAAAAAATTTTTATATGAGCACTGGCCTTTTGACAAGCATTTTTGCTGGCCACCATGGCTACAACTATTAGTTACTTATTATTAGCTACTAGTTGCTAATTACTAAGGTCGTTCTCAACAGCTCGCCTCCCCATCTCGATATGGATTTAGGGTAACTGATTTGGAAATTTGTGTAAGGGGAGGCGTGGGGAGGCAATTTGCCTTCCCATCAGGAGGGGAGGCGCCTAATTTGGAAAAGTCCATTTTGATCGTGATTACCTTCCATAAAATTTTAACTTCACATGGTAATATTTACCGCAATTGCTTAATGTCTATGTAATATCATCATAAATTATAGTGTCTATAAAATATTGACATTTTCTGTATTTGATGCATCATCGCGAAAATTTTAAAGCATGAAAGGATCGAATAATAAAGACAATCCACCCATTTCATTCATCATAGAGGATCCATCATCATTCGTGAATGGACGTTCAGTGCAAACACCATTATCGAATGGTCTTATGGCTAATACGCCTATGGATCCTATCATTGTAGATGAAGAAAATCAGCTGACTGACAATGCATCTCTCAAAACACAACCTTATGAGACGGAAGGTGATCACACAATACATTGAACACTCCCCGATTAATATAATATTATCGAATGGATATTAACCAAACAAATAAAATTGATACATTAGTTTGCATTAGTCAACACTTACTCAAATCACGCAAACGTCAAGGCAAGCGGCTGATGGAGGGTATTGTTTAATTAATTAATTTTATAAAACGTATTAGTAGAAATAACTGTTTAATAAGTCATAAACTTTCTTCACAAGCAGAGATTGAAAACGATAGTCATGACTCCAAAAGAAAAAAAGAATGGAGTTGTGAAGAAAATTTAGTTCTTCTTGAAGTAATGGGGAAATATTATAGAAGTCTCCATCATAGCAAGTCTGCAAATGAAAAGGGTCTAATTTGGGCAAGAATTTATGAGGAATTTTCTGGACGATGTCGAGGACGTAGTAGTAAAGCCTTACGCAAGCGGTATGCTGAAATTTTATAGGTTATCATAAATGATAATACGTTAATTTTTAATTGATTATTAGGTGGGAGAAGTTGACATGTGATTACAAAAAGTTTCGAGACAACAGCAAAAGAACGGGAGCTGAGCGGATGGAATTCGAATTTGAAGAGCAAATACGGGAAATTGTTGCGGAAGATCCTGTTTTTAATGAAGTTTATAACTCGGACAGTAGAAGCAAAATAGAAAGTGAAACTCAAAAACAAGGGGGAGAAAAGAAAGACAAAAGAAGCAATGCATTGGAAATTCTTATTGATTTAAATGAGCAAAATCGTAAGGATAATAGAGAATTTCAAGAAAAGCTGTTGTCAATGTTTGGTCAATTAATTTCTGCTATAAACCAATAAGACCTGTCATTATTATTGTCACTTACATTTATCGTAAGAACATTTGCTCTACAATCAGATTCCGTTTTCTTTGTGCTGAGAGGAGAATTTGTGTATCAACACCATTAGGATCTGCATATTCATTATCTTCATTTATCCTCCTATTCGAGTCCGTCTCATTTTCCCACAAATCATCACAATCAATACACATATTGTGGAGGATGCAGCACACATCAACAATATCTACAGCAGTTCTTAAATCGATTACTTCCATAGCCTGCTTCAATATTCTCCATTGCGCTTTGAGTTTTCCGAACGCTCTCTCAACTGCCATACGAGCTGACGAATGCACTTTGTTATACTGCCGTTGAGCTCGAGTAAGGCGTTGTTGTGCATGTTCTTTAAATGGCACAAGAAGCCAGGGCAACAGAGGAAATGCAGAATCACCAAGCAAATGGGTATTAGCAGGAAAATATTTACTGGCATCTTGCATAAGCTCTTCCCAAAAACTTGATTGTTTGAATACTCGAGCATCATGCATACTTCCTGGTTGGCCTGAATAAATATAGGTAAACCGTTCAGTATCATCTACTATAGCCATTAGAACAATACTATGAAAGCCTTTTCTGTTTATATATCTTTGATGATATGCTGTCCGAGGTTGCTGAATTGGTATGTGAGATCCATCAATTGCTCCAATAACATTAGGCATGCGTCTTCTTAACTCTGGTGGTGCAAATCCTTCAATCACCTCTTCCATTCGATTACCTGGCCAGCGAATACAATGTTGCAGAGAATCCAAGACCGCTCCGAGGAAACATTTAGTAAAGTGTGTAACAGATCCTTGGCTTATGCCAAACGTCTGCTCTATCTGGCGATATCCAATCGGATTTGCTAGACGTTGAAGGACAATTGCCACCTGAATTTCTATCGGAGTTTGACATTTGAAAGATGAGGATTGGTAATTTTTGTGCCTCGATAGTATATTGAGCAATTGATTGAATGTTGACTGATTGATGCGGAAGTGAGATTTGAAACTATTATATCTACTTTCATCATTTAAATAAGGAAATATATTAGTCCAAAAACCATTGGTCTTTGGACGTGGTATCTGTGGTGCTCTGCATATTCTCAATTTATGCTCTATATTATCAATTACCAACGCTCCAGTTTCTATTAGTTTATCATCCATCTCTTTTTGAGAAATCACAGCATCTATGATTATGGCAACGGATGTTGCAATAACTGCTTTATTTCGTCTTGAAAGTGGCATTTTCTTAAAATTTTATTGAAATATTCTGAGTAATGGAACTTTTTTTAAATGATAATACGCAATCAACGTGTTATCAACGCGACACGATAAATTAAAGTGAATAAATAAAACGCATCACAATCAAAATGGACTTTTCCAAATTAGGCGCCTCCCCTCCTAATGGGAAGGCAGATTGCCTCCCCACACCTCCCCTTACACGAATTTCCAAATCAGTTACCCTAAATCCCATATCGAGATGGGAGGCGAGCTGTTGAGAATGACCTAAATTAGAAGACAGTTTTGTGTCAATCATTGCCCAAAAGATAATAATAATAAAAGAAAAGGCTTACATAAAAAAAAAGAAAAGTATGGGTTCAGTCTTTACAATATGTCAATTAGGGAGGAAGGGGACAGCCTTGAGAAAAATATCATAGTTAACAGCATTAGTAGTATGAAAGCTTGTATTGATGCTGAAGGAGCCATGCTAAATATTAAGTAATTAATAAAATTTGTAGCCCTAATGTCTGGCATTCATTAGGATTTTTATTTGTTATTGTCTTTCAAGCTGAGCTCATTACATCTCAAACTGACTGCAATAACTTCTGCTGGGGACTGTAAACATTCATGGAGGCAGTCCAAGTTTCTTAATATCTTGACACCAGATAAATGGCACTTCCTCTCTGAATATTGACATTGTCTGCTCAGCCAGCTGATTAAATGTCTCTCTGACATTAGGTTCAGCTGAATTCCATAGTATTGAAGATAGGGATGAAATTTCAGCAACAATGGTATTATGGTTTTGAGAAATTTGTTCATTGAAAAAGATACGAAATATCAAAAATCCTCCAATGGCCTGTGTACTGCCATTCAAATGTGGGTTGGGGATATATCTACGAATGTCTTGGATTGTGGGAACTGGAAATTTAATGAATATATCATTGCTTGAAACATCAATAGTTTCAGTAATCAGCATAGTTTTGTATTTATTATTATATTGGTTTGTTAAAAACACCTCAACATATTTTGGTTCAGCTGCCTTTTGATACTTTTCAACTATTTTTTCTTCATTCTTTTTTATTCCAGTTTTATAATCATACCACTCACCAAGGTTATATTGTGCATTAGCATGTCCTTGTTCTGCAGCTTGTTGATACCATTCAACTGCATTTTGTTCATCTTTTTCTACTCCAGTTCCATTTGCATAACACACACCAGGGTTACACTGTGCTCTAGCATGTCCTTGTTCAGCAGCTTTTTGATACCATTCAACTGCCTTTTGTTCATCTTTTTCTACTCCAGTTCCATTTGCATAACACACACCAAGATTATATTGTGCATCAGCATATCCTTGCTCAGCAGCTTTTTCATACCATTCAACTGCTTTTTGTTCATCCTTTTCTACTCCAGTTCCATTTGCATAACACACACCAAGATTATACTGTGCATCAGCATATCCTTGCTCAGCAGCTTTTTCATACCATTCAACTGCTTTTTGTTCATCCTTTTCTACTCCAATTCCATCAGCATAACATATACCAAAAATATATTGAGCATTAACATCTCCTTGTTCAGCTGCTTTTTCATACAATTTAACTGCTTTTTGTTCATCCTTTTCTGCTCCAGTTCCATCAGCATAACATATACCAAGAATACATTGAGCACTGGCATGTCCTTCTTTAGCTGCTTTTTCATACCATTCAACTGCTTTTTGTTCATCCTTTTCTACTCCAATTCCATCTTCATAACATACACCAAGATTATATTGAGCACTGGTATGTCCTTCTTCAGCTGCTTTTTCATACCATTCAACTGCTTTTTGTTCATCCTTTTCTACTCCAGTTCCATCTTCATAACATAAAGCAAGATTATATTGAGCACTGGCATCTCCTTGTTCAGCTGCTCTGTGGTATAACACAAGTTGATTCCCTTTTTCCATTTTCGTATAAGCAGTATAATACACTAATACTATCAAAAATCAGTATTATTAAAATATACTCCGATGTAAGTATATTGGTATGGCGGTTCAGAAAAGTCCAATTTCGCAAGGGAAAATACGCAGCACCCGAAATGTAGTGTAATGATAGATTGATTAAGTCGATCAAAATTCGAATGCTTATCTTCGATTCTACCCATAGTAATGTTCTATTTATCACAAAGTGTCAATTTACGTAATCAAATAAATCTGTTGTACTGCCTTAATTCTTCTGTTTTACTGTTACGTGCAAATGAGTTTTCAATGCAAACCGTTCCTGGCACTGTTTATGCATCACACCGACGAGTATAAAGAGCACTCAATAGACTTATTGTCTTGCAAATAAGATGTATTGCATGTTTGTGGGAAAACTGACTGAATACGTATGCGTATTAAAGATTGTCAAATATTCGAGGAGTTATGTATATAAAGTCGTCGAATTCTTTTTACTTGCTACAAGTGTCATTGCTCGACAAGATATCTTATAATTAATATCGGTCGTGAAGTCTCATTTGTTCTGCTGATTCAAACCACTAGCATTGTGTGAGCGAGAATTTGATGTACTAAGAGAGTTAGTCACAAAAATTTACATGCATGTCTTCTCAATTGAAATATAGCTCATTCTTGAAGGCAGCCTTTTATAGCTTCTATTGCTATTGCTAAAGCATAGACTCCACTCATGTGTTTTTAATCTTTAGCAAATAAAACTGTCAAGCCAATATATCGTACAATAGTTACAGGAGAGCAATTATTCATTGAGATTTAGCTGTTTTGCATCAAGCTGTGATTCTCTATTTACAAGTGATTGTTAAACAGTCTTTAACTACCTCACAGTCAAGCATCAATTGATATACAGCTCACCCTCGTCGAGTAAATTGATTATTCAAGATTATCTCAGAAGTTATAGTATTGTGACATACCTAGAATGCGTTTATACTTAGATGAAAAATTAATAAAATATTCGCAGGTCAAGGCGAATGCGTACGTAATACTTGGAATAGTGGCACATCGAATACAGTCGGACCCCGTCATAACGAAATGCGTTATAACGAATTTTTGTTATACCGAAGCAAGCGTTACTTCCCCTTTTTTTAATATTTAAATTTGATTGTTATTACGAATTTTAATAGTAAACCTCGTTATTCCGTTACCGAAGTTCAGTTGCAGGATTTTTGTATATTGTACTAGTCGCTTTATAACGAAGTCTATCACGTGATACAAGAATTTAGCATGGTGATTGGTTGTAGTAATTATAAAATTTGTCATACGATTCATAGTGTTGTGGTCATAAACAACGATATGGTCGCCATGTCTTCCCACTGCTACACTGTCTTGACTAAAGATGTCAAACCGCTTTAGAACTAGTTCAAAAAGTACTAAATAATTGTCAAGCCATGATAAAAAAGAAAGAATATAATTTAGAATGAGCTCAAAGTCTTTCGTTCATTGAAAGAAAGGTGGAATTACATAATGTTACAAGCAAAAAGTAATCTAGAATAGATTTTTTCTTCCTGTACAGTCATCCCTCGTTTATAACCCCCCCTATTGTAACCCCACCCTCGGATATATCCCAGCTTACGGATTTCCCCTATTATATCTCAGTATAAATTTCCCTCATTTGTATCCCCAATCGATATATCCCTATCCCCAAAATTCACAGAGCCATATCCTATGGAAATATATACTGTAGTGATCATACCTCAGTTATATCCCCTCGGTAAATTTGCCTTACTATATATGTAAACTGTGTTACATAAATATCATGTCATTTCTATATATAGTTAAACTATCCTTTGTTGGTTAGTGCATTAATGCTGTGCACCGTATGTTTAATATGACCTGATTGAAAGTGGCATTATGACCGATTTCTATACAAGAGGGAAGGCAAGCACTTGAGACAGCTAAAAAATTTTTAGAACAGAGAGAATTTACGGCTGAAAACGATATGAGATACATGCGTAATTTAATTCGTCGTTTATATGAGTCGGCAGAAAAATTAAAGCGTCAAACGTCATTAACAGAGTATATTAACCAATAAAATTTCTTGTACTACTAAAACGCAAAATGCATTATACTATTTACTATATTCAGTTATATCCCACTTCAGATATATCCCCAAAAAGTCTCTGTCCCAAAAGTGGGGATATAAACGAGGGATGACTGTATATTGATATTTATTTTGCAACTAATAAATATTGCTTACGAAAGCCTCGATATACCGAATATTACTTAATTTTAGGCTAGACTTCGTTACAAAGAGAGTGTTTCTTTTACCGAATTCCTCGTTATAACAAATCATATATGACTCCCCCGTGCTTTCGGTATAACGGGGTTCGACTGTAACTGATAATTATTCATTGTTAGCATAATTTAAAGATCCACCCCCTAATTATTTGTTTCCTGCATCATATTGTACACACTTAATAGTGGCAACTTATATTATCTGCCATTTATAAATACGAGTGTCCACATTCTACTACACATTAAAAAATTTATTTCTCGCAATATACTAGATATCTTCTTCCTTACCG